ATTATACGATATCATCTGTTAGTAAGATTGTGCAGAGAGACACATCAATGCCTCTAATCATGGGACACTCTTGATCCTTACTAAAGGAACCTGGCAATTATAGAACAATAGATACATTAACTTCAGACAGTTTGAAAGGGAGAACAAGCACAATTTACAAGGTCTTCATGAAAGGTTTAAAAATGAGCAAAGAGAGAGAGGGAAAGAGAATTACAGAACAATTCTCAGTTCCAGGGAGGCACTGCTTCAGGAAGCAAGAAAGCAGCATAGATGATGCACCACTTGGGGCATGGCTACCTCCATAGAAACCAACAAAAAATAATACCCATGGCCTAAGTTCATTTTAACCAATTGAAACAGGAGGAAAGGGGCAGGGCACAAACTTTAAAAGAATGACATAGCCATAGACATGACAGACACTGTTTAGAACCAACTAGGTCCAAGATGACAGATTTGACTTCTACTGAACTCTGTCAGGATATCAGTCCTGAATATTCATTGGAAGGACTGACTGATGCTGAAGCCAAAACTCCAATACTTTGGCCACCTGATGCGAAGAACTGACTCCTTGGAAAAGACCCTAAGGCTGGGAAAGATTGAAGGCAGAAGGAGAAGAGGATGACAGAGGATGAGATGGCTGGATGGCATCACCAACTCGATGAACATGAGTTTGAGCAAGCTTGGGGAGTTGGTGACAGACAGGGAAGCTTGGCGTGCTGTGGTCCATGGGGTCACAAAGAGTTGGACGTGACTGAGCAACTGAACTGAAGTGAACTGAACCCTCTGTTTTCAGTCGCTTGGTCATGTTGGACCCAGTGACCCCATGGACTGTAGCATGCTTTGAGCCTCATTATACACTCATTGAAATACACTGCATGTGTGCTCAGTTGCTCAGTCATGTCCAGCTCTTTGTGACTCCATGGACTCCACGGACAGGTTCCTCTGTCCATGGAATCTTCCAGGCAAGAATACTGGAGTGGGTTGCCATTTCCTTCTTCAGGGAATCTTCTGACCCAAGGATCAAACCCTCATCTCCTGTGTCTCCTGCATTGGCAGGCAGATTCTTTACCACTGCATCACTTGGGAAGCCCTGCAAGACATTAGTATCAGCTAAGTGACACACCCACCAGTGCCCGACCATCAAGGATCAAATCCAATTCCTGGAAATCCTCACCCCTTCCCCAAAATAGTTGGAAAAATCCTCCCACTCAAAGGCTTACGAAATTACCCCATCCATAAAACACCATATTTGGGGGCTGCTTTCACCTTCTAAGATGACCTCATTCTGTCTGTGGAATGTATTTCTCTCTAAATAAATCCACTTCTCACCTATCACTTTGTCACTGAACTTTTTCTGCGATGAAACATCAAGAAACTGAGCTTCATTAAGTCCTGAGACCAGGTATGATCTCAGTTTAAAGACCAGGGGTCCAAGACCCACTCTGAGTTACACAGTTTCACAATGAACCATTGATATCAATGAGATTTACCCTTTTAACCAATGTCAGCATAGGACCGAGGACAACTGCAAGTCAGACATTTTCTTGCCTTGCTTCCAAGTTGCCTGGAATGGAGATCATTGTCAAACACAAGCCCCTGTGCCTGAGTCACAGTGAAGCCAAATAAACTTAAATGTTGGAGTTTAGAGCAGAGAAATGGTTATTGCAGAGTTAAGCAAGGAGTTAACCTCAGATATGCAGATGACACCACCCTTATGGCAGAAAGTGAAGAACTAAAGAGCCTCTTGATGAAAGTGAAAGAGGAAAGTGAAAAAGTTGGCTTAAAGCTCAACATTCAGAAAACTAAGATCATGGCATCCAGTCCCATCACTTCATGGGAAATAGATGGGGAAACAGTGGCTGACTTTATTTTTTGGGGCTCCAAAATCACTGCAGATGGTGATTGCTGCCATGAAATTAAAAGATGCTTACTCCTCGGAAGAAAAGTTATGACCAACTTAGACAGCAGATTAAAAAGCAGAGACATTACTTTGCCAACAAAGGTCTGTCTAGTCAAGGCTATGATTTTTCCAGTGGTCATGGATGGATGTGAGAGTTGGACTATAAAGAAAGCTGAGCACTGAAGAATTGATGCTTTCAAACTGTGGTGCTGGGGAAGACTTTTGAGAGCCCCTTGGACTGCAAGGAGATCCAACCAGTCCATCCTAAAGGAAATCAGTCCTGAATATTCATTGGAGGGACTGATGTTGAAACTGAAACTCCAGTACTTTGGCCACCTGATGTGAAGAACTAACTCATTGGAAAAGACCCTGATGCTGGGAAAGATTGAAGGCAGGAGGAGAAGGGGACGACAGAGGATGAGATGGTTGGATGGCAACACCGACTCAATGGACATGAGTTTGAGTAAGCTCCAGGAGTTGGTGATGGACAGGGAGGCCTGGTGTGCTGCAGTCCATGGGTTGCAAAGAGTCGGACATGACTGAGCGACTGAACTGAACTGGCTTATTTACAGACAAGAACACTTGCTATCTTCAGAAACAATGCCTTGTCTATTTCTTTGGCAGTTTCTGGCATAGGAGCCGTGTTCTCTGCAGGCAACCACTGGTGGTTTGTAAGCCCTGCTCTATTGCTATTTTAATCTGCAAAGTATTGCATTAAAGTCTTTCATTCAAGCAGCCTTTTAAGAATGTAATTGCAGCTATTTTATCTTGTTTGAACATCCTATATATAAGTACATGACAAGGCAATTCTGAAATCCTTTGTCTTCCTTTCTATGCATGAAGAAAAATGATGAAAGTATCTTTGTTATCTCTCCGTTTACAGTTGGTAATTCTGCTTCATTAGGCTGCATGGTAATTATTTTCAGAAAACACAACTGAAGATTCATGGCCTAAATGGAACTAAATAACTAAAATCCAAAGGCAGTTTTAGAGGTTAAGGTTATTTTATTTAATGTTGTGAATCTTAGAACACTATACAGTTCTACAAAAATTAGAATTATGATAATCTCCATTGTTTTGCCTTGTTATTTAAATTTTTTTTTTCCATTTATTTTTATTAGTTGGAGGCTAATTACTTTACAACATTGCAGTGGTTTTTGTCATACATTGAAATGAATTAGCCATGGATTTACATGTATTCCCCATCCCGGTCCCCGCTCCCACCTCCCTCTCCACCCAATCCCTCTGGGTCTTCCCAGTGCACCAGGCCCAAGCACTTGTCTCATGCATCCAACCTGGGCTGGTGATCTGTTTCACCCTAGATATACATGTTTCGATGCTGTTCTCTTGAAACATGTTATTTAAATTTTAATAAAGACTGTTGATTCAAAAAAGATGACAATCGTCCTAAAATTTTCTAGTGAATGCTGTCTCTCTATTCTCTCTATATTAGAAGTTTCTTAATTTTTCCCATAACATATAGAGCTTTCAAAATCTTCATTAACATTTTACTCTACAAACTAAAAATATACATTTAGACTTCAACTGAGTGATAGGAATTAAAAATCCAAAGCAGAAGAAGTAGAAGCATCGAAAGGGTTGGAGAGCTATAACAGGAATGGTGGCGACAGCGGTGTTCCGGAAACAGACTAGGACATAAGTAATCTTGCTGCTATGCTCCCAAGCTGTAGTTCTGAATCATCCTAAATTTTAAACAGAAGGTGAACCTCTGAGACAGAAAAACATATATTTTAAAAGTCAGGATGTGGGATCAAGGAGGACAACCTTGGCAGCAGTGGCCTTTGAACCAACAACAATGGATGCAGTCATTCCAGCACCAGCAGGATCCAAGCCAGATTGACTGGGCTGCATTGGTTCAAGCTTGGATTGCCCAAAGAGAAGCTTCAGGACAGCAAAGCATAGTAGAACAACCACCAGGAATGACGCCAAACGGACAGGATATGTCTACAATGGAGTCTGGTCCAAATAATCATGGGAATTTCCAAGGGGATTCAAACTTTAACAGAATGTGGCAACCAGAATGGGGAATGCATCAGCAGCCCCCACACCCCCCCTCCAGATCAGCCATGGATGCCACCAACACCAGGCCCAATGGACATTGTTCCTCCTTCCGAAGACAGCAACAGTCAGGACAATGGGGAATTTGCCCCTGACAACAGGCATATATTTAACCAGAACAATCACAATTTTGCAGTGGGGCCAGTGAACCAGTTTGACTATCAGCATGGGGCTGCTTTTGGTCCACCGCAAGGTGGATTTCATCCTCCTTATTGGCAACCAGGACCTCCAGGACCTCCGGCACCTCCCCAGAATCGAAGAGAAAGACCATCATCATTCAGGGATCAGCAGCGCTCACCTATTTCACCTCCTGTGAAGCAGGAGCCGCCACAAATTGACGCAGTAAAACGCAGGACTCTTCAGCTTGGATTCGAGAAGGTCTTGAAAAAATGGAACGTGAAAAGCAGAAGAAGTTGGAGAAAGAAAGAATGGAGGAACAACGTTCACAATTGTCCAAAAAAGAAAAGAAGGCCACAGGTGATGCTGAAGGAGATGGCCCTCGTTTACCTCAGAGAAGTAAATTTGATAGTGATGAGGAAGATGAAGACACTGAAAATGTTGAGGCTGCAAGCAGTGGAAAAGTCACCAGAAGTCCATCTCCAGTTCCTCAAGAAGAGCAAAGTGAACCAGAGATGACTGAAGAAGAGAAAGAGTATCAAATGATGTTGCTGACAAAAATGCTTCTGACTGAAATTCTCCTGGATGTCACAGATGAAGAAATTTATTACATAGCCAAAGATGCACACCGGAAGGCAACGAAAGCTCCTGCAAAACAGCTGACACAGTCCAGTGCACTGGCCTCCCTCACTGGACTCGGTGGACTGGGTGGTTATGGATCAGGAGACAGTGAAGATGAGAGGAGCAACCGAGGTTCTGAGTCATCTGACCCCGATGATGAGGAATTCCGGCATCGAATCCGGCAAAAACAGGAAGCTTTTTGGAGAAAAGAAAAAGACAACAGTTGTTACATGATAAACAGATGGAAGAAGAAAAGCAGCAATCAGAAAGGGTTGCAAAAGAGATGGATGAATTTATCCATAAAGAGCAAAATAGTTTATCACTACTAGAAGCAAGAGAAGCAGGTGGTGATGTGGTTAATGAAAAGAAAAGAACTCCAAGTGAAACTACGTCAGTTTTAGAACCAAAAAGAGAGCATAAAGAAACAGAGAAACAAGGGGAGAGTAGATCAGGAAGCTCTAGCAGTGGTAGTTCCAGTAGCAATAGCCGAAGCAGCAGCACTAGCAGTTCTGTCTCTAGCCCTTCATACAGTTCTAGCTCAGGTAGCAGTCGCACTTCTTCCCGGTCTTCTTCTCCTAAAAGAAGAAAGAGACACAGTAGGAGTAGATCTCCAACAATTAAAGCTAGGCGTAGTAGGAGTAGAAGTTACTCTCGCAGAATTAAAATAGAGAGCAATAGGGCTAGAGTGAAGATTAGAGATGGGAGGAGATCTAATAGAAATAGCATTGAAAGAGAAAGACGAAGAAATCGAAGTCCTTCCCGAGAGACACGTAGAAGTAGAAGTCGCTCAAGGGATAGGCGAACCAATCGGTCCAGTCGTAGTAGGAGTCGAGATAGACGTAAAGTTGATGATCAACGTGGAAGTCTTGGTGGAGGCAGTCATAAGCATAAGGGTGAGGTTAAAGAACAAGAGAGGAGAAAGGAGAGGAGTGGAAGTGTAGACAAAGATAGGAGAAAGAAAGACAAAGAAAGGGAACGTGAACAGGATAAAAGAAAAGAGAAACAAAAAAGGGAAGAAAAGGACTTTAAGTTCAGTAGTCAGGACGATAGGTTAAAAAGGAAACGAGAAAGTGAAAGAACGTTCTCTAGGAGTGGTTCTATATCTGTTAAAATCATAAGACATGATTCTAGGCAGGATAGTAAGAAAAGCACTACCAAAGATAGTAAAAAACATTCAGGCTCTGATTCTAGTGGAAGGAGCAGTTCTGAATCTCCAGGAAGTAGCAAAGAAAAGAAGGTTAAGAAGCCTAAACATAGTCGATCGCGATCCATGGAGAAATCTCAAAGGTCTGGTAAGAAGGCAAGCCGCAAACACAAGTCTAAGTCCCGATCAAGATCAACAACCCCTCCCTGTCGTAAACGCTGAGGAATGATGTGGCAAGAATGCCATGATGTTTAAAAAATTCCATGAGCTTTAAGGGCTTGTCTCATTATAGAGGCATATTTGTGGCTGTGTAGATGAAACCAGAATTTTTTTTTTAATCTGTAAATAGGTGTACTTTTTTCAAATGCTGCTCCAAGTTACTTAATAGGATTTCTATTACATTTTTTTCAAAAAATAGTGCATAATAAGACTAGAAACATGCCATTCTCTTTCAGCTGTAATGTTCTTAAAATTATTCTTGAATGTACTGTCATGTCAATAAAGCTCTTTAATTCATTTTTGTTAAAAAAAAAATCCAAAGCATACACTATTTTTCTTATGCTCTGAGTTACATTCGAAAGCTTACCTATATGTGAAAGTACATGTGCATGCTTGTGTACTCAGTCATTCAGTCGCATCCAATTCTTTGTGATCTTATGGACTGTAGCCTGCCAGGCTCCTCTGTCCATGGAATTTTCCAGGCAAGAATACTGGAGTGGGGTGCCATTTCCTTCTCCAGGGGATCTTCCCAACCCAGGGATTGAACCCAAGTCTCCTGCATTAGCAAATGGATGCTTTACCAGTGGGCCACCTAGGAAACAATTCAGATATTAATTATGATCCTGAATGATATGTCATTCTATTAATGACATTGGTAAGCTGAGTATATTTGATCGTTAACTCTGAAGTCACTTGCAAATTGGTCATACGCAAGTTCAGGAGGCTAGAAATGACATTAAAGTTGACATTCTTTCACTCAGAATGCCAGAAGGCATTTGAACTTTCAAAGATCAAATCTGATGCCAAAAACAGATTTCAGGAAAATATTGTGACTGAGGTCAAGCTTTAGTACAATCCTCATTCCTAGGGAAAGTGATTGAAGGACAAGGCATTTAGGAAGGAAGAAAGGGGTACCTATCATAGGCAGCTACAATAGACAGAAATAATTTTTTGTTCAAATTAACAGGGAATGTAGAACTAGGCCAGGAATAGAATTTGATAATCAGGACTATAACACATTCTTATCTATTAAGGGGAAGCTTAAGTAAGAACCAGCCTTTATGAAAAGTCTACTAAATATCATACCTATGGTACTTATTTTCTACATGCAGCCTAGATGTCTGCTAGTCTGATGGGCCTTGCTAATTAGCCATTGTCTCACAACCTGCCCCACTTCTATCAGTGGCCCCAGTTATTTGCAGAAGACACCCAAAGGTGTGAGTCCCATCTTCCTTCTGTTGGTTGGTAGCTTGTGCCCATGGGCATTGCATGGGAGAAGACTCACTACCCAGCATGGGATTGCCCAGGGCTCTGCCAAGGACACTGCTTGGGTTCAGTCAGATTCCAAATAAGTGGTGTTTGCTAAGGGTTTGCCAAAAGCAGCCTTCCATATGTTTGAAAGCCCCTCAAATCCCCCTTGAACTCTCAACTTTTAGGCTCCTAAGAGACTGAAAACTAGTCTGAAAACTAGTCACTATTCTATCACCTTTCAACCTCCTGGGTTTTTTTCTCCCATTACTCAGCCCTTCTCATAAAAACATTTGTCCACCTTCTTTCAGTTTAAAAAAAAAAACAAAAAACCTTCGAATGCAGACAGAGATAAATCAATGCTAGTGTGCATAGAGGATAGAGGAGTGAGAATAGGATATTATTTCTAGCTGTTCCCAAGTTTGAATATTGTTCTGATTTTCTATGGCTGCATAACAAGTTGCCACAAGTTTAGTGGCTTCAAACAATCCCCATTTTATTATCTCATAGTTCCATAGGTCAAAAGTTCAGGTGAGCTCCACTGGGCTCTCTCCTTAGGGTTTCACATATTTTCTCTTCTGTTATCTGCTGGAGAAAACTCTGCTTTTAAAGTGCTCATGTGATGAGATGAAACTCACTCAGATAATCTCTTCCTGGGCAAATGGTATCTCATCATGATCACAGATTTCATCCCTACTCAAAAGGGATGGGATTATGCAAGAGAGAGGTCATTGGGAGCCATTCTTAGAATGGTGCCTACCACATATGTATGTCAGAATTATCATTTTGATCAGAATTAAATGTAAAGATTCTCAGCCACCCCCCATCTTCTCTGAGATTCTGGTTTAGTAAAGCTGAGCAGAGCTCAGAATTTTTTTGCTTCACAGGTAGTCTTTTCTGGGAGAGAGAAAGGATATTAGTAAGTAGCCTCAAAGGGTCTGCAAAATGTATACCATCTTTTCTCCTCTCTATAGCTCTTTCAGATAAGTCTTATTTTTCCTCCATTTTAGAGGAGAGGAAACTGAGATACAAAAAGTCTAAGTAACTTGTTCAAGGTCTCAGAGTAAGTGAAGAGCTCAAGATTTACAGTTTACAAAACTGCATGGTTCCTCATTCTTTTAGAAATGGATTGGTACCTTGGAGTCTTCTGAGAGCCAGGCATGTAGATAAATTTAGAATAACCTGGATAGGATGTTGGGCAGGAATCCTAAATTAAGGGAACTAACAGATATACTCAATACTTGAGAGATTTGACTTCTAGACCATGCAGGGAGACCACTCTAGAAAGGTAAAATAATGATTCCTATGGGATAGAAGATAGAGAAAAAGGAGGAGATTTGAAAAACAATGGAAATGTGGGACCCTCTTCTCTCACCAAAGGCAACCCTTCAGAGCCAGGGCGGAGATCATGGGAATTACGAAGTGATTAGATCCGGAGCCTACTGTGCCAAGTTAATAGATGAGGGTTTTGTAATGCAACCCAGGATCTTTATCATAAGATCAAAGTAAGACTGAGATGGGGGTAGTGAGAGACAGTGGGGGGGGGGTGGGGTGAATGTCACACACAGACAGGATGCAAGCCGCTAGAGGGGATTTACTGTTCCCTTCTCGATGAGTCTGATGAAGTTTAGATACTCTGGGACAAAGGTCAATTTATCTTTTTCCTCTCCATTCCATCCTTTGGTTCCAGAAGCTTCTCGCATATGGCCACATGGCTTGTTTTCTCAGTTCAGGTTCCTGCTGAAGATGGGGAGAAAAAAAATTGCTGTTGGAAAAAAAAAACTGGTTGAAAAAATAAACCCGAGTTTCTCTTTTGTCTAGGTTTTTGGGAAACAAGGAAAAGGGATTTAAATCGCTCTTGTTTTCAAATTTTAAACTTTTATTATTTCTGCTATTGCACACTCATCATTCACTATATTCCATGCATTTGTAAAGACTTTAATTTTCTTATCATTTTTATTGCATACTGCATATATGTAAAGTGATAATTATAACATATGTGGAAGGCTTAAAGAATAGCAATACCATGAACACCCATGAATTCAGTAACTGGTTTAAAAATGGACAATTACAATATCTTTGTAGCCAAGCCCACTCTGTGTCTCCTTGCTCTCATCCGTCTCTCTTCTCAAAGGTAACCACAATCCTGAATTTTATATTTATTATTCCCTTATTTTTCTTTATGATCTTATCACATATCAGTCTCCAATCAATATGTTGTTTGGTTTTCTGTATATTTGAACTTTATGCAAGTAGAATTATACTGAGTCTAGTCTTCTGTGACTTTTTTTGGCTTACCTTGTGCTTTTTTGCTCACCTTGAAAGGCAGCCAACTTCAATACCTAATATTCCATTTAAAGAACAAGTCATTCTCTTATCAACCGATTTAGGTAAATTTCATTTTTTTAAAATTATTGCAAACATTGCTCCTATAAACACTTTGCCTTCTGATATTTATTTTCAAGAGTTCTTCAGCAAATACATCTGGAAGTAGAATTGCTGGATTATAGGTTAGGTGCTTCTTTGAAATTATTCATGTCAAGTTGTTTTCCAAATAGGTGGTATCTAACTCTACTTCTATTTAGAAGAGCACATGAGTATCCCTTGTTCCTCATCTGCAATCAAAACAAAGTTTTAAAATATTTATTTATTTGTCTGCCCCGGGTCCTTAGTTTTAGCAGTGGGATCCTTAGTTGCTCTTAAGTTGCAGCATGAAGGATATTTAGTTGTGCTGTGCGAATTCTTCGTTGTGGGAATGTGGGACTTAATTCCCTGCCCTGGGATTGAACTGGGACACCTGGCATTGGGAGTTGGGAGTCTTAGCCACTGGATCACCAGGGAAGTCCCTGGCTGCTTTAAGTGAATATGCTTTACCTGGCTTTGGTTAACAGCTGCAGATATTTTTAGAAAGTACAACAAAAATTATATTAAAAATTTTACATGAGTGCATAGAGGATTTGTAAATTAGTCCTATACTCTTAGAATATGAAAAGTATTTTCCTGTGTAAACCATGTCAAACATGGTGATTAGTTTCTCTGCCATTGAAGTCCTTAACCCACAATGTAGCTGAAATTCACTCATAAGTCTCCCTTGACTCTTGATGTCTCACTTCAGAAATCCTTTTGTTAGGGGAAGCACACTGATTGAAACCGCTCACCCTGGCCAGGCACCGAAGTAACCATTTCATGAGTTGTTTTATGACAGGAGATCCTGATAAGGAATACTAATAAGCCACCACCAGCCGGAAGAATTCGGGAAAGGTCGAGAGGAGACACTGCCTGTCCGTCCACTTCTCAGAATCCCTCTCGCTAGCATCCATCTTGACTGAGCGATGCGTGCGCCACCAGGAAAGACTGAATTTGAATGATTGGCCAAAGACCACCCGGAAAATAATCCCATCACCATAAAACCCAAGACTGCGAGCCACGCAGAGCAGTTCTCCTGGGTTCCCTTACCTACTGCTCTCCACCCGGGTGCCCTTTTCCAATAAAATCTCTTGCTTTGTCAGCACACGTGTCTCCTCGGACAATTCATTTCTGAGTGTTAGACAAGAGCCCAGTTTCGGGCCCTGGAAGGGGTCCCCCTTCCTGCAACACTGTCCTCTTCCAAGGTCATAAACATATTCTCCTGTTTGTTTTATCAAAATTTTATAGTTTTACTTTCTACATTTTAGCTTTAATTTGTCTGGAATTTGTCTTTGAGCATGGTATGAGCTGAGGCTTGCCTGGTGGCTCAGTGGTAAAGAATCCACCTG